ATCTACATCATTGTATACAACTTAGAAGTACAGGACCACACCATTCAGGTGTGCTTTTAATGGAAGTGAAGGGCATTATGCTAGACAGAGTAATTCAGAGACAGAAGGACAAGTAAGTACCACATGGAGTTTGTATATATGGAATCAAGAAACAAAACAAAAAGTCAGATAAAACCAACTAATGACAAACCCTATAAATCTGACTGTAGAATTGAGGCTACCAGAAAAAGAGGTAGAAAGGGGAGAACATAGTGGGGAGGAGCACACTGGACTATGGTGGAGGTCTTTCCCAACCTTAGTGGTGGGTACCATGTGGTGATACTGGGTTCTTTTAAAGCAGAACATTCAGCCTCTCTTCAGCATTATCAAAGTTAGTAATAGTTTGTCCTCCTAAACTTAGAGCTGCCTGTAGTTCTAATTTATGTTTTATAAAAACAGCAATTTGGATTTTTCTTTTTTCATATTCTAAAAATTATTTTAAGAAACTGAAATTCATATCTTTCAAATATTTTCAAAAATTATTTTCTGACTAAACTGTGCCTACTACAGATGGTCCTGTTTAAAATCACCTGCTGTTCTGAATTTCTCAGATTTTTAACCATTCTTAAATTACTTCTGTTTTACCAAATGCAACTTTGCTTTATGAAGTAAGCTGTATGCAGTTCAAATATAGGAAATAACTCTTGCAAAGAAATGCATGATATTCAGAATTTGGAACAATTGGTTGGCTAGGGAAATACTAATGAACATCACAGATTGACTTGCCTTCATTGGAATGAATTTAAGACTATTACTTTTTCTTTGTAACTGGAAAAATAATCTCTAATTCTCCTATATTTATAGCAGCCATATGTCCCAGATTTTCTAGGATAGTTCCCAGTTTCATAGTCTCCCTCTCCCAAAACCATACTGCCTTGTAGTTTGGAAAATTTGTTCATTTTTCTAATATTAGCCATATAGTTCTTTGGGCTTATTTCATTTTAGTAGAAGTTACTTGAAAAACTCATTTCAGGCAACTTGTATAAAGTAAGAAGATGTAAGAAAGACGTATGATGAATTTTTTATATGCTAATGTGCATTTTTATATGCTAAGGTTGCTGGAGAAAGGAGGTCTTCACTATGTGGGGTAATTTGTTGTATGCTTCTGTTCACAAAATGTGGTCAAGAACCAGAACAATGTATGGGGTAAAAATTTTTTTTTCTGTTCTGCATTAACAAGGCACTGTCTCCATAAAGGAACCTGAATCTCTAGGAGAGATTTATAAATTAAGAGCTTTTTAGAGATAAGGAACTAAGAAGCACATGAAAAGATCATTGGTCACCAGGGAAAACAAACAAAACCACACTGAGATACACTTCACTCCTAGGAAGTGTTAAAATACTAGGAAACAAATAAGTGGTATATGGATGTGACAAAATTGAAACTCTCATGCAGTGCTGGTGAGAGTGTAAATGGTGCAACCACTTTAAATAGTCTGACAGTTCCTCAAAAAGGTTAAGAGCTCCATATGACCTTGTAATTCCACTCCTAAGAGTAGATGAAAAAAGAAAAAAAAAAGCATAAAATCTTGTACCAGAATATTAGCAGCATTATTTACAATAGCCAAAAATGGAAAGAGTGTAAATATTAGTCAACTTAATAAAATATGGTAGCCTTACAATGTTATATTCAGCGATTGAAAAAAGGACTAATGTACTAATACTTGCTACAGTATGAATGTACCTCAAAAACATCACAGCAGGGCCCTCCCTGGTGGCGCAGCGGGTTAAAGCACAGCACTGAGAATCTAAAGCCGCTTCCTCTTGAGTTCCGATTCCCGCCTGCCCAGGAGGCGACCACATGGTGAGGCAGACCTCTCCTGACCCGCCCGCTGCTCCCCTCAGCAGTGTACTTCGTCCATCTGCCTGTTCTGCTCCCCACTCTGTCTCTGGTGAAGCCTCTCGCCGCCCCTGAGCTTCTGGCCTGCACCCCAGTTCTGTATGTACAAATAAATAAATCTTTAAAAAAAAATTAAAAAAAAAATCACAGCAAGTTAAAGCAACCAGTCTTAAAGGAACACATATTATGTGACTTCATTTATATGAAATGTCCAGAATTGACAAATCATAGAGACAGAAAGTAGAATAGTAGTTGCCTAGGACTGAGGTGAAAGAGAGAAAGAGGGGAGTGACTGCTAATTAATCCATTTCTTTTTGGGGTGATGAAAATTTCCTAAAATTGATTGAACACTTTAAGTGGGTGACTTGTACAGTAGTAAATTATCTCAATAAAGCTGTTACTTTAAAGGAGGGGGCACATCTTGCTTACTATTGAGACATTCTGTTTTATTCCTTCTTTAATACTAATTCTCAACCAGGGAGAATTTTGCTACTTAGAGGACATTGGTAATGCCAGGAGAAATTTTTGGTTGTCACAACCGGAGGAGTAATGCTATTGGCATCTAGTAGGCAGAGGCTAGGGATATTGCTAAACATCTTTCCGTGCATGGGACAGCCCCCTCAACAACAAATTGTCTGGCTCAAATTCACAATAATTCTTAAGTTGAGAAATCCTGTTACACACTTGTGTTGCTCTAGTGATAATTGATTGTGGCCACATTTTTTAAGTACTGCAAGGTCATGAATCATCAAACAGATATTCAGTGTACTCAAGTAAAAGGGGCAAGGCTACTCAAGACTGAAACTGCTCCCCCCCAAAAAAAAAGTTTTATTTTTTTAATTTGGTTAGCTTAAGCCTAAATTGAATAATTTATTACTAAAATATTTATTCCTCAATGCTTCTAGTTGATATTTCACTGTATTGTATTGCATTTTACTTAGAACTTCTTAAAAATAAGGTTTATAGAATAGAAAATCATGTGACAAAGGTAGGAATTATGTACAACACTATAGCATAGCTTGGTCCATTTAAAAATTTTTATGAACTCATGTTCAGGAATAGGAACACTGCAAATTTGCTAGTCTTCAATATAATTAAAAGGAATCCTATTTTGAATATACTTGTTTGAAATATCCACAGATGATTTAAAGGACAGGGAATAGGTCTTTCATTATAGATGCCAACGTTTCAAATGTTAACAATAGCTAATACTTATTGAATTCTCTTGGTAGGCTGAGTATATTGCAAACCACATCATGTATATTGTCTCATTTAATTCTCAGAAACCCTATGAAGAAGACATGATTATTCCTATTCTGGAAGTATCTATCTTGTAGTCTTCCACCAATATGCACTGGTTCCTCTTACGATTTTTGCACTATGGCTATTCTGAGAGTTCCCTTCCTTATCATTCTTGGTATCTTTTTGGTTTCCTTCCTATCTTCAATCCCCTGCATCTTCTCTTACTGTGGTGTGCTCCCACTCTTTGAAGAAGCATACCTCTGTTACCTTCCTTAGGAAGCCACTGTTTGAAAATTCTATCTTCATGATTGAAAAATATAGTTTGGGTATAGAATTCTATGTAAGAACTATTTCTCTGTTACAGTTTTATTTACATGAACCATTATTCTCATGCATTTCAGTTTTGTGTACGATCTCCTTTGTGCCTCTTACGACTTATAGGTTCTTTTTTTTTTTTTTTTTCTTAAACTGGATGCTGGACCTGCTTTTACTGTCAGGTTTTGTTTTCATGTATTTTGCCCAATGTCAAGTGGCATCCCATTCACTCCCAAAATCCATTTCCTTGAACTCAGTGAAAGTTTCTAAAAATGTTCTTTGATATAGCCTCTAGTATTTTTCTTTCCGGATTGTCTATTACCTAGTTGTTAAGTTTTAAAATGTATCTTTTAGTTTGCTTATTTAGTGGAATCCTAATCTTTTCCATTTGCTTTTAGTTCTACTTTCTCAGGAATTCAGTTCTATCTTATTTTTAAGTTAAATTAGACTTTAGTTTTAAACAGCTAATTTCTTTCTATAACCTCTTATAAAAAGAGGTTATTTGGCAAATGTTTCATCTTTCATATTAGAGTTTTTCTGAACTTTTTCTCCTAAAATCTGACTTGATTCTTATTCATTCCAACTCTTTCTGTTTGTTTTTTGGATTAGGTTTCTGCCTTTCATGTTGCATATTTTATTTAGTGGTCCTTAACACTCTATAATCTATATGACTTCTAGTCTTTATTGCTCCCTGATATAATGCTCTGAGAAGAACACAAACATCACTGTTAGAATGTTTTTCTCCCAACCATGCACATTTAGTAATTTTTATTGTACATTGAGCAATATGTGTGCTACATGATAGAGCAATGAATACTGCTACTAAAAATACTAGAACTGTTCAACTGAAAAGTTATAACAACACATTTTGTTCTCTTCCTGAAGAGTATTGATTTTTGTTCAAGTAAGTTAATTTATATGAGTTCCAAATCCTATCTCTCTTCAGGTGAACATCAGCTGAAATCTATGCTCTGTGCTTTCAGCATCTCAGCTATTATCTTTTACATACGTAGTTCAGTGATCAGCTGGGAATTGGGTAGAGTTTATAGAGAGGTAACTTCTATGACTTCTTCATTTCAAGGATTGTCCTCTTAATTTTCCAGTTATTCTTTTAACTTCTAACTAGGAATTATGGCTCCTGAATGATTACGATTTCAGATTTATGCTTAAGTGTTAATCACGCCACCATATTAATTGTGCAGCAGTACTAGAGAAAAGCCATATAAATGTGAATCCTATTCAGTATCATTCCTTCTTTTAACAGTTGGCTTCTGTCCAGTTTCTACTTGCTTTTGGTCACTCTATGGTGTTTTCAAAAATTACTTTTATATTTCTTCAGAGTATATCACTGTTATCTGTAAATGATCAATCTAATGTAATTGATTGTACCATTACCAGAAATTGTACCATAACACCTTTTATTAGATTTCCAATAGATTTCCAATATTGCATAGGTTAGACAAAAAGAACAACAATTTTATGAATGATGGTAATAAGTTATCAAAATGTCCAAAAATTACTGAGCATGTTACAAATTGTATCTTTTTTCTTTTTTCTCTTACAGACAAGAGATGATTTCCTAGGTCAAGTGGATGTTCCTCTTTATCCATTACCGGTTGGTATAGATGCCCAAGATTTTACTTACTTTTTATATTATTTTTAATGTAATGAACACTATAGATACACCATCTAGGTAGTATAAGTCTTGATTTCTAAAACATGTACTGCTTTTATTTCTTGAGCATATTATTTTATGAAAACGTATCTTAATTTTCCATTCTACCTACAAGATAGCATAAACTCCAGTAAGAACTAGAACCACTATTTGTTGACATCATGAAAGCATTGTTAGAGGGAGACTGGTTAGAAAGAGTCTACTGAATATAGGCAAGAAGAAAACTAAATTTGATTGCATTGCAGAAATGAAAATGAATTTGGACCAATCATCTAGCAATAGGGGAAGACAGATTCAGGAAACATCTTATAATTAAACATTATCGGACCAGGTTTCTGATATGGAAGCTGAAAGCAAAAATAGGCAAAAAGTAAAAATGCAGCTTTGAATTTGGGAGATAGAATTGGTGTCTCAAGTAGAAAAATTATTTAAAAAATCTTTTTGTTTTGAAATAAAATAAGGTTTTTTTCTGATCATATTGAATTTCAGTAGAAAACAGGAAAAATCACAGTTTAAAGTGGGCAACTGACAAAGATATGAAAATAATGTAGAGAAGAAGAGAAATGAGAGTATTGAAGGGGAAACACTGAACCTTACTTAGTCATTGTATACCTGTCAGAGGAGAAAGAACAGACAGGAAAAGAACCAAGTAACATAATGTAATGAGAATTTTAGAAAATATTTCAGGACTACATGTGTAGTTAATACCAAATGCAGGAGAGAAAGTAAAGGATAATATAACAAAGGCTGCTAAACTTGATAAGAAAGAGAAGTGATAGTTCTATCACTCTTTTTTTTTTTTAAAAAAAAAGATATATTTATTTATTTATACAGAACTAGGGGATAGGCCAGAGGTGCAGGGGCGGTGAGAGGATTCACCAGAGACAGAGTGGGGAGCAGAACAGGCAGACTGATGAGTACACTACTGAGGGGAGAAGCAGGCAGGTCAGGAGAGATCTGCCGTGCCATGTAGGTCACCTCCAGGGCCGGGGATCCAACTCATACTGAAGTGGCTTTAGCTTCTTAGTGCTGTGCTTCAACCTGCTGCACCACCAGGGAGGGCCCTCTGTCGCTATCTCTTTTAAGATTTTTATTGGCTCCTCTGGTCTTTAGAGATCACAAGTCTTTAATAACAGATTTAATTCCATTTAATTTTAATTTTTGTTCTGCTAGAATTGTCTCAGTGCTCTAATCAGCCACCCTTGCTGACATATACCTATTCCATATCCCTTTGGGGTACCATCGTGCTAACCACTTTCAAAGTTTTTCCACTTCTACCCTCCCTTTGGCTTCACAACACACCTGTTCAGCTAGTTTCTGACTGAGTTGTGATGCCAGCTGCAACTCCTCCAGTGCATAGTGAAAGCACTGTCAAGTGACCAACTGTAACCATTTAATAAACTAAAGCTACTTTTCTCTCTCTCTCTCTCTTTTTTTTTTTTTGCCTTAGGTCATACATAGTTCATGAATTGTCTTAAAAAGTCTATTTTTTTGGTGTTATAGATGTAACTTGAAAACCCACTCTTTTATTCTAGACAGAAAATCCAAGAATGGAGAGACCATATACTTTCAAGGATTTTGTTCTTCATCCAAGAAGGTCAGTAAATATAAAATAATACATTACTAAGTTTTTCTTTGTTATAGCTTAGAGTAGCCTCTTTAGAAATTCAAGGTGTAAGTTGTCCCCTTAATGTTTATCAGACTAAAGGCTGAAATTTGTCATACTTTATATTTATTTTGTATATTATATGATACCTAGCTTTTGTCACACTATTATATATATATTATATGATATTTAGATTTTTGTCACCTTAAAAAAATCACAGATATCACCTTGTAAAATCACTATCCAATTTAGCATGTATAAGAATGCTGTCAGGAAAACATAACTAAATTTTTCATACTTTAAAGGAGGCAACTCAATACATAGAGAAAATAACATGAACAAATAATGGAACTTAAAAACCAAAGAACATGTTCATAATTCCACTTACCTAAACTAAGTTACTTGATTTTTATCAAAATGTTTAAGCTGTAAATTAAATTACTTTGATCTCTATACCACATAGTCAAGTAAAATCTAGTCAAGATGTGTATGTGTGTGGATTTACTGTCAGAAAGGTCAAAGTATAACAAGGCAAGGACATCTGTGAAAGCCATACTATTTATCTTGTTTTTAAAACTAGGAAATGGATTTGAAAACTATACCAAGTGTGTAATAAATTTGTTTATTTAACAAAAAATTAATTACTCTTTGAAATGAAATATGAAAACAAAAAAGACAGTGCTTTTTGTGTTAATATTTATTTTGTGTAAGAGAAACCACATATTTAATTTCTGCAAATGTCTTGAAATATAAATCTCTTTTTTTTTTTTTTTTAAAGATTTATTTATTTGTGCATACAGAACTGGGGTACAGGCCAGAGGCTCAGGGGCGGTGAGAGGCTTCACCAGAGACAGAGTGGGGAACAGAACAGGCAGATCCACGAAGTACACTGCTGAGGGGAGCAGCGGGCGGGTCAGGAGAGGTCTGCCACACCATGTGGTCACCTCCGGGGCAGGCGGGAATCGAACTCATGCGGAAGCGGCTTTAGATTCTCAGTGCTGTGGTTTAACCCGCTGCGCCACCAGGGAGGGCCTATAAATCTCTTTTTTAATTCTAGAATGATTGTGACAATCATATCAAGAATAAGGAACTAGTTTTTCTTTGCTTTGATTGCTCTAGTAACCTACTACCAATTTGTCAAATTCTTTCTAGTATTGTTATTGAAAAAAAAATCTGCACTGGACTAATATTATAGCAAGTGCAGGAAGAACTTTATTCAAATGTGTAGTGTACTATATTTCTAGATTTTTTTGAGCACTGTTAAAGTCCAAACCATGTTTGGACTTAACAAACAAGTTAAGTCCATGGGCTTATTAACTAGTTGGAAAAACATAAAACTTATCACTGTAGAGAAACTACTCTATAAAAAAATATCTGAACAAGGTAGCCCACTTTAAAGTAGCATGTCAGTGTGTTCACCCACTCTTAAATGTGGAGACACAGACCACATTGGTGATCTTGGAAATAAGCACCAGTGATTTTATTGACTGTTCCTAAAAGGTACATTGACAAGACCATAAGACATGTACAGAGAACAACAAAAAAGTTTAAGGCAGGCCTGGAGTAAGGGGAGGTAGAATGAAAGGATTAGGACTTTTTCTTAGTCTAGAAAGTCGAAGGGTAATTGGTTACTTAACTGATATCTATAAAAATTATGAACACATCTATATAAAATGTGAGATTAAGTAAGAATCCCATAACTATGTAGGATGCTAGAATTGGTGGAGTCAAGAGATAGATTTTAAGTCTCAAGTTAAAAGTTTAGGAAATATAAGTTTAAATTTTTTAAATTATCAATACAGTAGGAGCAAACTTTAGCTTAGACAACTAATTGAAAGAGGTGATACAGTATGAAAATAGATCAAGTCAGTTACCATATGACAGGCCCAGGTCCAAACAGCTGCCAAAGGAAGATGGTAGGGTTTCAGACAGCCAGCCATCAGTCCTTGCTCTCCACTTTTCTGTCATTCTATCTGATATGGTTAGATTAGTATCCTTAACACACACCTGTGAGAATCTTTCCCTATCCAGAAAATTCTCTTGTTCGGAGCACATGCACATTAAAGTGTAAATTCTCTAATTTCACAAGGACTTTATCATGTGGAACATCCTTACTCCTTTACACAGCCATAATCCAGCTAAGCTCAACTTGTGCTGTTTCCTTAATTGCACCCCAGGTTTCCTTTGACTTATTCATTCATGGCTTCTCTTCACTTAGCTACTTTAAATGACCTTAAGTAACCTTCACTGCCATAGATCAATATCTTCCCCAGTCTTTGATCCCCAACTCAAATGCCAACTTCTCGTTTCCAGATCACTGATCTTTCACTTAAATTCTCCTAGTATCTTATTTATCTCATAACATTTGTTATGTATGTTTATTTTTTCTACCATCTATTCCTTTCCTAAATTTCCTCTGTACTGGAACTTGTCCTTTATAGTACTCTGCTAACTAGTCAGTGTTCAATAGACTCATGACATGAATGCTCTTCCTAGTATTAAAGTTCTGTGAGTAATTATTTTCTTTTCTGCAGTCACAAATCAAGAGTTAAAGGTTATCTAAGATTAAAAATGACTTATCTACCTAAGACCAGTGGCTCAGAAGAAGATAACACAGAACAGGCTGAGGAACTAGAGGTGAGATTTTATGAATATTTGTTTAAACTAATTACTTTTGCCAGTCTGAAGGAAACAATCACTGTTCAATAAAGTTAATGTGTACAGTAAAAATTATTTATGTGGACATTTGTTTATTCACCCTAGAGTTTGTTAATCATTTCTTTCATCCGGCAGTATTTCTGTAGAATTAATGGTCATCATTGATTGCATTCTTAACGGTTAGGGTATTAATAGAGAATATAATGTTGACAAATGAATATGTTGCTTGTAATTAAGTCATTAAATCTTTCTAGTTTTTCAGTTTTCTAAAACCATGTTATGTTCCTCTAGTTTAATATTTGTCACAGTTTAATATTTGTCAGTTGAATATACAGAAGCACTACTATTTACGAACTTGTTCATAAAATGTAAAATGACATTCCTCTTAGTTTTCCTATTATTAAGGTTAGAATGGAGGCTCATAAGAAAGGAGATTGAAATAAGAGGGGAAGAAGGAATTCAACTAATTTAATAAAAAAACATACTTATTTAGGGGCAAATCAAGTTTAACAGTTTTCATGGATGACAGGCAAAGAAGAAGTCCAAGTCAAGTAGTTAGGCAAAGCCACATACATCTGCAGTGAGCAAAGAGGAGACAAAGAACATGTATTTGGAACAGAAGTGGACAGGAATTTGGAGACTGGAACTCTAGTCGTTAACTCTGCTACTATCCAGCTGAATAGTCATGTGAGTTGTTGAACCACAAGTTCTTCATTTGCATAATGACCTGGTTGTCTCAGATGGTCTATGGATTGTCTTCCAACAGAGAAAGTCATGATTTCAAATGGGGACAAAAAAATAACCTGTCCCTTGAGGTTCCACTGAAGGAACATCAAGAATATTCAACGTGTGTTGTGACCACACAGAGTCTTGTCATCGGTTTGCTTTGGAGGGTTTGGGTATATGCTGTCCTCTGCAGCCATACCTCTGGGATTGACCGTGTAGGTCAAACCCACATTGTATGGGTCTCCAGCGTTTTAAGTGTCAGCTGAGCTTTACACACTTGCATTGAGAAGTAAGGTCAAGAAGAAGTGCTTTAGCAACAAAACTTTTGGGAAGTTTTTAATATGCTCTGATGAGAGTTTATTTTGTAGGGGAATCTGTAATAATGGAAAGAACATTTTTCTTTAAATCACAGTATATAGTTAAGAGTGTGACAGAGAACTTGGTATCTTAACTTTTATCTTTTTTATTTCTTAATTTTTCTCTGACTTATCATATTATTATTAAGTCAGTGTCTTATGTGGCATTTTTGTGCACAGGGTATCTTGCATAATGAAATTGTGTTTTAAATGAAGAATTTCTACTGTAAAGAAAGAAAATTCTTTATTTAGTAGCTTAAAAAAATTAACAGCACTTCATTATTTAGAAACCTGCTCCAAGTTTTGCCCACACACGACTATCACAGGTACCTTATTCACAATTCAGTTCCTGTGGATAGAGCTGCTTCACTTCATTTTGTGGTCTCATGTCTCTATGTTTGAATTCCCTCAAAATTGCACCTTATAATTTCAGTAGATGTAAGTATGTAGGAGTTTATTTATAAAAGGACCAAGGAATTCAAACACATGAAACTCTGCCTATTTATCTTCTGTGTAGCTAATGACTAGAGAAGTCTTGCCTTTGACATCTAATTTGTAACTAAATACATAAAACTCTTACTATTTAAAGAAAACAATCGTAACTTTCAAAAGAAGCTCACTGTTAGGTAGTTTGTCCTCTTTAGTGTAATAAAGAGTGGGTATACTAGATAATTCTGAAACATTTGATCTATGTATCCTTTGCAACTTTAAACTTAATTGAATGTATTAAAAATTAACATATATATTGGATTTGTTGTTTGTAGGAACTAAGTAACATTCATTGATACCTGGAATTATTTTGTGATAACTACTGATACATATTTTATAGAGCGGACTTCTATATAAAAAATATAAACTTTCTAAATAATGTTCAGCTGTACAATTTTATTCTCAAACTTAAAACTGCTTTTTAAAAGCCCTTAGTTTTTTTTCCCCTCCTCAAGTTTATTTGGATAATATAAATTTAATAAGCAGACCTTTAAGAGAGAAACCTTGAAGATCTCTCTTCAAGATTTAAGAGCGAAATCTTTAAGAAGATTTTTTAAAAAGATTCTGTTGGTGTCATTTTCCTAGCTATAAATATTTCTACAGTTCTTAATAGCAGTTGTAAGAACCCTTTTATAATAAATTGCATTAACCTGCAAGGGGGGAAAAAATCAGAGGCCATATTCAGAAATAGTCAAAAACGTTAATCTTTTTTTCAAGAGATTAAGTATAAAAACTCAACTCACTCACTTTTGAAATAGAGACCAGAGAAATAAAATATACATGAGACTAATTTTGAGGTATGCTAGATCCTGTATTCTGGAAGTGAGTGGAGAAAAAAAAAAAAAGGAAGTTAAACAGAGAGAAAAAGAGGATAGAGAGAAGGAAGAGAAAGGAGGTTGGGTGATAAAAGGAAAGAGATGTCAGTTCATGTAGAAGAGGTTAAAAAAAAAAGTAAGAAAAAAATGTCAGTTTTGCTTCCCTTCCAAATCCTTTTACCAAACATAGTTTTATCCTCTGCTTTCCCTAACCCTCACCTTCTGTTCTGCCTCAGTCTATAATCCTTCCACCACAGCTAGCCAGGAGAAAGCCACCTTACTATGGGAACCTCTGTTTCTTTCTGCTGCTAGAAAACATTACTGTCCTTCCTGCTCTTCTCCCTGACTCCTCATTTTCAGATTCATAGGCCAGTTCTCCTCTATCTTCTAAGCTACCCAGTGATTGCCACACAACAGTGCTTTCAGCATTGGATCCCAGTACCTAGAACAAGCTGCATAAATGCATTTTAAATATTGCTCAGTCTGTGACATCTTGTATAAGGCATGAGGTTATGATCCAGATGAAATTTCTTTCCTACTTTCTAAGTAATTTGCCTATTTCCCCACAAATTTGAAATATCTTTGTCATAAACTAAATCCCTATAACTTAGTGTTTTGGGCTTTCTGCAAACTGCCTGTCTATGCACGCACTGGTGCTACAAAGCTTGTATTTTATCTGGGTGTGTTAAATCTTCATTTGTTGTTCTTTTATAGAGTTACACTGATTATCCTTGCTGGTATGTGTTTCTGTTTCAACTTGAGAACTGACTTGTTACTTGTTAAAAATCCATAGTGTAGTTTTATCAAAATCTTGACAACCTGATAAATTATCCTGGGCAAAATTGACACCTTTGTGAAATTGAGTGTTCCTAGCCAAGATACGTTATGTCTTTTCATTCATTCAGTCAGGTCTTCTTTGGTGCCTCTTTAAGAGAATTGTAAAGTTTTTATTAGTTTACCTGTGCTTTCCTAACTAGACCTTTTATTTTTTCTGTTATGAGGTTTCTTGTGCCATTAACTCTTGCTACCCTTTTCAATTAATTCCTTACTTTAAACACCCCTGCTAAGTTTCTGCTAGTCTTAGAGGAACAAATGTCCAATGCTTTCCTGGCATTGTAAACGAAACCAAATCTCTTTCTTTGATTATTTTATCACTTGACCAAAATGCCCTTCCTTGGTCCAGAGGAGAAGAAAAGTAAAGCCAGAAAATCATCATGATTTGCAGTCACTAGAGAGTTTGCCATAGCAATTATTTCTGAATTATTTGCCCTTTATCAAGAGTCCTGTGTATGTTTGATCTTCATCTACTGAATTTTTTCCAGTACTAACTGAAGAAGCCTGAAAATACAAGATACTCTCTCCTTAGGAGAGAAAACTGATGATAAGACAAGACACCACCCTTTACATTAATTTATAATTTAGAAAAGAGCTTATTATACTAGTTTAAACTTGCTTCTCAGTTTTTCAGTGCTTTCCATTGTTTATTTTTTCTACCATGTGTATTTCTTTTAGACCTTTTTGAAAAATTTTATATCAAGCAAATTTCAGTGTTATCATTTGCAAAAAGAAGTCTCATTATCATAAAATATTCATATCATGGTCTTAAATGTTGATGTGCTAATTCAGCAATTGGATATGCTAAATCTTTGTGTAATTTCTGCAACTGGATATGCTAAATCTCTTTTAAAATTTCCTCTAACATGATTTATAAGGTTAATAAATCAAGCTTAAATTTGAGTGTTACTGTTCTGCATTTCAGCCTGGCTGGGTTGTTTTGGACCAACCAGATGCTGCTTGCCATTTGCAACAGCAGCAAGAACCTTCTCCTCTACCTCCAGGATGGGAAGAGAGGCAGGATATTCTTGGAAGGACCTACTATGTAAACCATGAATCTAGAAGAACACAGTGGAAAAGACCAACCCCTCAGTATGTGCTGATGGCTTCACTCTGGTTACCTGGATATATTTTGATCATTAATTTTTACTTTGGAATCATATTTCAAATAGATCTGTCATTGATTTATAATAGTATAGGGAGCTGTAAACTGAAGAATTTTATGTCCAGGTTTTATGTCCTGACCCAAAAATTGCTGATTTAGCTGTCTTTTAAAAAATGATTTGATAAATATTCAAAATTATTTCAGTCCCAAATACCACCCTTTTAATTGCCTTTTCTTTTTTATTTTTTTTTTTAAAGATTTATTTATTTGTGCATACAGAATTGGGGTACAGGCCAGAGGCTCAGGGGCAGTGAGAGGTTTCACCAGACACAGAGTGGGGAGCCGAATAGGCAGATCGAGGAAGTACACTGCTAAGGGGAGCAGCGGGCTGGCCAGGAGAGGTCTGCTATGCCATGTGGTCACCTCCGGAGCAGGCGGGGATGGAACTCATGCGGAAGTGGCTTAAGCTTCTTAGTGCTGTGCTTTAACCCGCTGCACCACCAGGGAGGGCCCTGCTTTTTTATTTTAATAAATTATCAATTATTTATGCTTTTACTTATCATGCAGCAACAGAGGTACAGTATTCTCTTTAGATTGCTTTAGGAAGTCTTAGAGATTATTGGTAGTTCATTATTAAAATATTTTTAAAATGCTAATTTTTATATTATACTATTTTTAAAATATAAGTGACTCAATACAAGGGTCTGTGTTAAACAATCATTTGCATCTGGTGGGTTTATAGGGGTAACTTCCAGTATGCCCTAGCCTAGGACAGAATGACCTCAGAGCTACTCTATGACCACAGCTCCTCAGTGACATTTTTCTTTTATTATTACCGGACTGTACATACATTTACAAATTCTCCCGTTATTTATATTCATTATCAAATCTCCATCCACTTCTTTAGTTTTCTACTTTTGACAGTCTTGAAATTTTTCTTATTTTCCTGTTAACCTTATATGTTTGGCTTTTCTGTTTTGTGTCCAGTATAGCCCAAGCACTTCATAGATATTTTCAATTCTCAGATTCTTCCAGAGAAAATCAATGATCCAGGTTCTTCATAGCACAGAAACACTGATCACTATAGAATGACATGTGGAGCATAAAACTGAAGACATTAAAATTCTACAGTTGCTCTATTGCATGCATTAGTGTTACTATTACTATTGCTAGTAGTATTCCATAACATTACTATTACTAGTCTTACTATTGTTAACCTATTGTGGCAGGCCTGATTTAAGCAAATCACATTTTTTTTCACCATGGTGGTGGTTATTGTCCACTTGCCATAATCAAATGTTTGGAACAGAAGGGAAACCTGGAGCATTCCCTTGTAACTAAATATTTATATGGAATTTTTTATCTTTTTATTTTATTATATTAAATTCAAATAGCTAAATAATAGAAATGATTGGAGCAAGTATGTACAGTCTGATATAGTGTACCTTTCCTACACTCATGTATCCCTTTTGTATTTTTACCTTTCTCAGACCAGGCCCATTATTGTAAATGTTTAAAAGCAGATACCACTTAATCATTAAAATATTAATTATAGTCTTTGCATATCTTTGATTCTGTCCTGTGTATTCATATATGGGGAGCTCTACTCCTGTGTAGTGACCAATTCTAGACATGTTACTGCTTTCATGCAAATGTATATGTAACTCAAAACTTTCATGATTTTTCTACTTTGTATTTTACTATTGTAGAAAAAGGCAAAATAATTACATAATGAAATTATTCATGACTCCGCTATTTATTCATCTAACAAACATTTTTTGAGAGTCTGTACATGTCAGACATTATCCTGAGACTAATGGTGAACTAAAATATCACATTTTCACAAAATTTTCAAGTACATAAGGTATTCTGAAGCATGCCTACACATGTTGAAGTAGCATTTGGCTCAAGACAGTAAATTCCAATTTAATATAGGTTTTTTTTTTTTTAATGATCACAAAATCATTGACTATTATTTTAGCTGCCTTCAGATATGGTGATGACTCTCATGCTTCTAATATAGGGACAACCTAACAGATGTCGAGAATGGTAACATTCAGTTGCAAGCACAACGTGCATTTACCACCAGGCGACAGATATCTGAGGAAACAGAAAGTACTGACAACCGAGAGTCTTCTGAGGTAAAAGTAATTTTCTTGTTTTTGTTGACAAACACAGGTTACAGTAGTAGATTAAAATATGTGTGACTTAAACTTTTCTGTTTATTTTAGAACTGGGAAATTATAAGAGAAGATGAAGCTACCATGTTTAATACTCAGGCCTTCCCACCACCTCTACCATCAAATAACTTGGATGTTCAGACTTATCTTACAGATGAATTAAATGCCAGACTCACTATTTTTGGAAATCCAGCCACCGGCCAACCAGTATCCAGCTCAGTAAGATACTCTTAGATTTTGTTGTAGTTTCAGAATTTTACATTATACATATTGTTTCATTCAATTACTAATTTGTACATAAAGTATTGTCTAAAGTGGCATGTAACTATGTGTTATGGACTTAAGACTTCATTTAACAGTATGATGATTTTTCAGCTATTAATATGGAACAGAATTGTGGATAATCCAAATGGTCTCTGGAGTCTAAATGTCCATTATATATATATATCAATGTCCTCTAGCAAAAGACCACCAGGAACTCACCTGTAATTGAAAAAGTTACATTTATCATTTCAGCAAGGGAGAACACACACCACAAGTGACTCAGAGTATGTTAGAAAAAACTTAAAGGATTTGGGCTCAGGTAAGGAGATTTATAGGAATACTGAAGGAAGCAGGTCTTTGCATTAAATGCTATCTAAAGGGACTTTGCTGTGACTGAATATCTCTTATCTGCGGAGAGACAGAAACTATAATAAATTAAAAAGCAGCAGTCACTTATATTTGCCAACATAGGGAGATATTTGCTATTTTGTGATTTGAACAATATTTACATTTTGTCTGTGTTCAGTCAGGACAAACTGATCTTGATTTTTTTTCTTGATCCTATCCTGCCTAAGAGTACCAAACCAGGTCATGAATGTGAGGGGTTGCTTTTCTCCTGCTCAATAATACCACACAACCAACACACGTATGTGAAATGAAAATGGCTATGTTTTTACTAAGCAAAGATGACATTCTCATACCAGCAACCTCTATAACAGTTGCTGTTCTTAGGTTCCAGAAGCAAGTATTCCAGCCTACCTTATCATGTGGATGTAGAGCTGGCTCTTTAACCTACATCATCAATGGAAAGTTTTCATGGAAGACAGAGTTTGTTCTGAGGAGCCTATGTCGTTTCTAGTTGGAATTACTCTGTTTTTCATTGTAGTAAATATTGACTGAGGATTGACTAAATGCAGGGCACTATATACTGCTTAAAGTGTCACTGGAATATAGTGGTTTAAGGCTTGCTGGTGGCTGGATTCCCATTATATTGACAGAGTTAAGTAGTTATGACAGAGCAGGTAGTTTTGTGGCCCAGAAAAATATATTATCAGAATCTTACCAGAAAAAATTTGCTAACTTCTGTCCTGGCACGTTCTGCAAGAAGCTTCAGTGTGGACAGTTCTATGTAAATAACTGTGTGAATCTCCACAAGCAGATATACCTGTTTGCTCTTTCCCTCCTTTCTCCCATCTGTCTTTCTACCCTGTCTTCCATTTATTTTATATCTTTATTTTAATTAAAGGAATAGGAAAAGTCATTAAACACTTAAAGAATACACTTTATTTATTGATGATAAATAAGATTCTATTCCCTTTCCTGCTGTTACTTTTTGTTTATTGCAACACTGTTAACAATAGCTAAGAAATGGAGCCCACCAAATGCCCCAAAACAGATAAATAGATAAAAAAAAATTATGATATATATGCACAATGGAATATTAGTCAGTGATCAAAACAGATAAACTCATTCCATTTGTGGCAATAGGTATGGAACTGGAAGGGATTATGTTAAGGGAAATAAGTGAGAAGGAAAGAGATAAACACTAAAATGCTTTTTTTTTTTTAATTTATAAAAGCAATGTATGGCACCACAGTGAAAAACATCCATACTCTGCAGCCAAAGAAAAGAATAAAGTGACTTTGGATGTACATGTTATGTGGAACAATGCCTACAAATACTGGTCCATGAGCACAAGACAGTGTGGTTGATACGCTGTTGTCTATCTAAATTATATTTAAATGATGAAGAACAAATATATGTGTGTTATTTCTTGAAGATGAAACAGCAAACTGAGACCATTGCTGGGCTCTGGAGAAAGAAACATGTATATCATTTTTTAACCCAAGGTCATCTTACATATTTATGTATATACCTTTTGCTATATCATAGACATGGGATGTACTTCTTTTAAAACCAGCAACAACAACAAAAAGAAAAATGTCATTCCATTGTGCTAGTTAATGGTGAAGATATTTCAACAGTCTCATATTCTCTACAGTCCTTTGTTATTATAAAAAAGTACTATGTGGATATTCTGACTTTATATGTATATTACAGTTTTTGATGACATCAAATAACAATTTCAGATAATAACAACAGCAAGTACATAAAAACACCATGGAAGCTCGCTGACCAGTGTTCTGTCTTATAGAATTCTGTGTTGTACAGAAGAAAAGGACTTTCCTATCATGACCCTGACTCAACAGTGGTGGGTGGTATTGAGTGGCCAAGTGCTTTTACATATAGTCTCAACACCACTTCCCAGCTGACCTTCTTTCTTCTGCCCGGTCATATTTGCCCCTACTACTTTACCTGCCATTCAAAGACATATAAAACCTAAAGTTATTATCTTTCTTTCTTTGTCAGAATCATTCCAGCAGGAGAGGCAGCTTATTAGCCTATACGTTTGAAGAACAGCCTACACTTCCTGTGGTGAGTTTTAATCTCCCCTCAGTCATCACAACTCTTTTTTGGAACACAGTATGATAATTTGATTGCTTACCAGGGAACTGATTTAGCACAGAATATAGATTCTGCTGGGTGAGGTTTAAGGAAGACAAGAGAATAGAGTAGATAGGCCCTTTTTTAAATTTTTTAAAATTTTTTTCATTAAAAAAAATTTAGTCCGTGTCCAATATCTTTATCACAGTTCACTATAGAACATTGCATGTTCTTAAAGAGGTAAGACCAGCATCACTCTCCCCTATGGAATATGCTAAAATCTCTCAAGTCTGGACACCAAAATCCTCTATGTAGTCATTGTGATGGGATATAGGGATGGTCCATCTTGTTCCAGTAAGCAATCAAGGAGAGAACTCATTAATCTGAAACTTTAAAAAGATTAAACATTATTATTACTATTTAATTCATTTATTTAAAAATTTTATTTCATTTTTGTGTAGAAGAACTGGTATAGGCTGAGGTGTGGGGTGGGTGGGGGTGGCTATGGGAGAGGAGTCACCAGAGACAGAGTGCATGCAGCCTGACTGAAATATACTACTCTGCTGAGGGGAACAGCAGGAGAGACACAAGAGGTCTGCTGTGTCATGTGGGTCAGCTCCCTCACCAGGGATCAAACTCATCCTTGAGTGGTTGGTGATAGCTTGGTAGAGCTGAAACTTTAACCCTGTGCCACGAGGGAGGTTCTAAGCATTATTCTTATTTCAAAAAGAACTACTTAGACAAAGTTAAATTGTTAGCCTAAACTAAAATTAACACCTAAAAAATGTGATGTACTATATGATTCCTCCCTGCCCCCCGGCTAATATCGTTGTAGTCCCTTTTAAGATAAAAGAGGGAAAACCGGCTTTCCATCATAAGAAAGTGTCCAGAGAGCTGGTGACTGTGGAAGCAGATAGTTGGGCCTTTCAGCCAAAGTGTTATGCTGGCCCAAGGTGGCTGTGCGGCCAGTCTCACTCTCACACTTTCTGGTACAGTGCTTGGCAGTCTCAGCTCCATCTCCTCCTGCTCATGGAGTCTAGCTGCCATTTCTGCACTATACAGTATGTGACATAAGGGTTCTGTCACTCAGCAGGCTGTCAGCTAGTTCAGTTGGAGTTTATCAGCCCCTATGTCATCTCTCTAGTTGTATGTCTGCCAGACAGCCCCACATTTTGCAGCCTTGACAGCTTAGGCCTTAGAAACTTCCTGTCCTCTTGGCCTTTCATCTCCTGTCTTCCTCCTGATTCAATTCATATTACTCTGAGTTTTCCTTACTTGGCTTCCTACTTGTTTTGTTTGTAAATGAAATGGAAACTTCGAGACTCCCTGCCCCTTCAGCTTCCCCTTCTTACCTACCCATAGAGATGCCATGCTGCTTTGGTCCTTATCTCTATTCTTCTGCATGCTGTTCCCATGTCCTAAAGGCCTGTGAACCTTCCGTCTCCCATTTGTATTGGCCCTTTCATTTTGTTTTGCCAACCATTTGCAACTGTGGATGGTAGTCTATATTACTTTTGAAAAATGTAGCTTGTTGGGTTTTTGCCCTTATGGAAGTTCCAGCATAGGAACTCAGGGGCTCACAATTCCTTTATCCAAAGCTACTTTTTCAAATGAATGAGGTGAGCTTTCTTGAGGTTTATCTGACAAGCCATAAAACCCATCTATTTTAAGTTATACATAAAGGTGAATTTTACACAGTCATACAAACTTCACCACAGTCGAATTTAATCACCCTTCCAGCAACCCAAAAATGCTTCCTTAATCCCAACATCTCCTCTCAGCCCAGGTAACCTTACTCAGCTGTTTTCTGTTACTGTACTTTTAAGAAATTTCATATGTATGGAATTATACAATACATAGCTTATGCGTCTGATCTCTTTCCCTCAATATGATGGTTTTGAGACTTACCCTCATTTTTCGCATGTCTCAGGAATTCATGATAATCCACTGTGTAGACATATCATACTATGTTGTTTTTATCTATTTATCTATTTAGCTGTTAGAAATTTGTCTAGCTAGGTAGCACAGTGGGTTAAAGCACAGCACTAAGAAGCTTAAGCCACTTCTGCATGAGTTCGATTCCCGCCTATCCTGGAGGAGATCCACATGGCGCAGCAGACCTCTCCTGACCCGCCCACTGCTCCCCTCAGCAGTGTACTTTGTAGATCTGCTCCCCACTCTGTCTCTGGTGAATCCTCTCACCCTCCGCATCTCTGGCCTGTACCCCAGCTCTGTATGAATAAATGAATAAATAAATCTTTAAAATAAAAAGAAAAGAAATTTGTCTAGTTGGACAGCTTTGGACTTCTTTATTTTGTAGATTAACAACTTGCCATTACTGTCAGCAGTGCACATTTACCTCCCTAAGTTTCTAGGGAACAGACTAGCACTAGTGTTCTTTCGGTGGAAGGCACATTAGGGAGCCTGGCCAAGCCTTAAAGAGTTGGATTCAAAAAAACAAAAGGAAAGCCAGCTCTGGACAATTTTTTTTTTTAATTTATTTATTTGTGTATACAGAACTGGGGTACAGGCCAGAGGCTCAGGGCCGGCGAGAGGCTTCACCAGAGACAGAGTGGGGAACAGAACAGGCTGATCAATGAAGTACACTGCTGAGGGGAGCAGCGGGTGGGTCAGGAGAGGTCTGCCGCGCCATGTGGTCACCTCCGAGGTAGGCGGGAATCGAACTCATGCAGAAGCGGCATTAGATTCTCAGTGCTGTGCTTCAACCCACTGCACCACCAGGGAGGGCCAGCTCTGGACTATTTTAAGTAAACCTGGAAATAATTAGACTTCTTGGCTCATTAGTAATAAGCTAGAATAAACAGTACCTCCTAGCTTCTAGAAAGAATACAGGGGCAATTTTTGATTCAACACATATTGGGGTTAATTTTCTTTTAATTTATTTATTCATACAGAACTGGGGTACAGGCCAGAGACGCGGAGGGTGAGAGGATTCACCAGAGACAGAGTAGGGAGCAGAACAGGCAGATCTACGAAGTACACTGCTGAGGGGAGCAGCGGGCGGGCCAGAAGAGGTCTGCCTAGTCTTGTGGATCTCCTCTGGGGCAGGTGGGAATCAAACTCATGGGGAAGTGGCTTAAGCTTCTCAGTGCAGTGCTTTAACCCGCTGGGCCACCAGGGAGGGCCCCCGGGTTAATTTCTATAGTTAGGCTACCTAGATTCAAATCATAGCTCCATACTATAACATATCTGGTAGGAAGTTAACTTCAATTTTCTTTTTTTTTTTAGAGAAAGGTATATTCACTTTATTCTTCTAAATCTGCTTCCCCTCAGCAGCATATTTCAGCCAATCCATTTGTCTTAAAACCCCATAGCTCCCTGCACCTCCAGATTATACCCGTTTGACTCTACCCAACTAAGCTCCCCTAGAAAAACAAAAGTCCATTTTCCCTTCACATCTGAGCCCATCCCCCCACTGCACAGGCAGACCCCTTAGGACCTGTTGAGCACTCCCACCAGATGCATCTAGGGCCCCAATCATTTGTCACCAACCTGGTGACTGACTATACCACAAAGGTCACAGTCAGTGAATAAGGTCAGTAGTTGTTCTTCGAGGACTCTAGCACACTGAGGCAATAGGTGATACCCAAGCGTGACTCTAGCCTCGATAACTTCAATTTTCTAAACTTCAGTTTATTTGAACATAAAATGGACAAATAAAGCAATTATCTCATTAAGATTTACGTGCTGGGGATTAAAGGACACGATCCATGTTAAAGCACAGAGTATATAGTTGTTACTACTGTTGTGTTTTATTAGCATTATCACTCTTCATCAGTATTGTCTGTTCTACTGGGCTTTATTTTCTTTTTAAGTGAAAAACTACATTTTTTAAAAAGATTTAGTTATTTATGCATACAGAATTGAGGTACAGGCCAGAGGTACAGGGATGGCAATAGGGTTCACTAGAAATACAGTGGAGAGCAGAACAGACCAATTGACAAAAATACACTGCTGAGGGGAACAGTGGGTAGGGCAGGAGAGGTCTCTGGCCAGAAGCAGTTTAGTTAACTTCTTAGTGCTGTGCTTTAACACCACCAGGGAGGGCCTGAAAAAAAATTACATTCTTAAAATTATTTCAAATATGGTTCATTTTAAAAGAGTTAATAGTGAAGAAGAGGTGACATAATCCTTTTAAAAAGATTCTCTCTTACTAACATTTCATTCTCCTCTTATTCTTTACTTTAGCTTTTGCCTACTTCATCTGGATTACCACCAGGTTGGGAAGAAAAACAAGATGAAAGAGGAAGATCATATTATGTAGATCACAATTCCAGAACCACTACCTGGACAAAGCCCACTGTACAGGTACCCACAGTCTACCCATTAACTTATTTTCTTTTGGTATTTAAGCCATCACACTCCTTTGGAAACAATACATCACTTTGTGGTATATACTGAATGTTTCTCTCACCTTCTAATTATTTTCTGACACTAGTGCAAAATATCTACCACTAGATATTTATCTAGTGGTACATTAATACACATGGATTTCTACTTTTTGTTAAGTAAAATAAAGTGGGAATCAGATAACAAGATTATCTAGTCCACTGAGTGACTTTGAAATTTAAATAGTTAAGATAATTATGTTGGATTCTCCTGGTGGCGTAGGGGTTAAGTCTCAGCACTTCCACTGCCCTTGCCTGAGTTTGATCACTGCTAAAGAGCTGACCCACATGGCACAGCAGACCTCTCCTGTCTTGCCCGCTGCTCCCCTCAACAGTGTATTTCAGTCAGACCTCCTGTTCTGCTCCCCACTCTGTCTCTGGTGAATCCTCTCATTCCTCACACCTCTGGCCTACACTCCAGTTCTTCTACACAAAAAATACATAAGTAATATCTTTTTAAAAATCACTATTTCTCTAAAAGATAATTTGAGTGATTAGTGTCAAAGAATTTGTGGCGATGACTTGTTCCAAGCAATAGTGAGTGCCTTTTGTAATATTTCCTTGTGTTTAGGAAAATGTTTAGTTTATCTTCTCACCATTTCTCTTGCTGAAAATAATTTTTAACACTGAAAAGTGCAGGGAACATGTAGCTAACACCAACTTTCTTACCACCCAGAATTTACCATTTAATTACCATTAACAAATTACAACATTCATTCTAAATTTCTTTTAACCAAGCCCTTTGTTCCACTCCCCAGAGTAACCACCATCTCAAATTTGTTGTGTATTCATCCAGATTTTATACTTACAGAAAACTAAAAAATGCAAAATACTATTTAGGTCTCAGTTTGAAATTTTGCAAAGCTGTTATGCTGTATAATTAAATCTTTTACTAAGTACTAATGTATCATATTTGAACATGTTACATTTCAGTGATCTATTTCTAGTTTCCCTGTTTGCTATTTTGTCTGCCTAACATTTGAACCCACACATAGGTATTGGGAATTCCCCATTCTCTATGAATCTTTGGGATACAAGGATAACATCTCCTCCAATAGGTGTTATATTTAATTTGCAACTGGAGTACAGACCTCCAGACCTTATTCCTCAATCTCATGTACCCACAGAAGACTTACTGTTAAGTAGCACCTTACCACTAGAGAGTTGGTTGAGAAATTGTAACTCATTTTATTTTTTCAGTTTCGTATTATATTTTTATTCTCATATACCAAAACATGACCTAAATTTTAAATAGATTTACCAAAAAAAAAAGTAACATATATCCATATATCTTTCATCAATGAAAGACTCATATTTCCAGAATCACTGTACCTTTTGTGGCAAAATTTCTTGATGCTGAATTTCTAGTAAAATTTTTGCTTCAGTTATTTTTCAATTTGCTTTTCTTGAGGATAAATTGTTATAGAGCAAGGAGAAGAGCAGCCTTGAATCCCCAAGCCTACCATCTCTAAATAGCTTCTGCCATCCACCACATCAAGACAAAACATATATGACCTTTAATGGAAAGGAACTTTAACAAAATCAGTGTGCAGTACAAAAATTCAGAGTGTAGTTTCTAAATCAGACACCCAAAATGGTCCATCCTCTCGTGGTAAAAGTCAACCCAAACAGGATTGGCCCTAAGCAAAGCCTGAAAGCCTGTCACAAGACTAAAGCACCTTTCAGCAGGGACCCATAGAAAAGAGTCAGAAATGGCCAGAAAAATCTGGGAGGAAAAGATCAAAATCAAAATTAAGGTGAAAGCTGCCATTGTGAACCTTCCCAAAGGTGTCTCATCCACACCTGTTTCAACCAGTCTAGGGCCAAGAAACAAGAGCCGCTTCTTCTCATGTCTCTCCGTTCCATGTGCCTGCCTGGGTCACTTCTGGCTCTCCAACCTGCTTCCTTCCTCCTCAGTCTCTTCTCCAGCTTTTTCTCTTCCCTGCTCAGCTCCACCCTCCTTTGGGTGGAGCAGGGAACCTGGATTCTCCCTTTTCTTGGGGACAATCCTGTAACAGTATTCCTTGTCCTTCACTATTGTTTTCATTCTTCAGGCTTCCAATTCTTTGTTGCTTTTATCGATTCATTTTATTTCATATCTTATTTTTGGCCTTCGCACTTCGCAGCAGCTTTTGCTTCCATTGCTTCTTTTGCACTTTCTTGTGCTTGTAGATTCTTCACTCTGCATCATCTCTGACATAGAAAAGGTCTCATCCACCACATTTTTTTTTATACATATATAAGGTTAAAAACCAGCAGTATCTTGCTTAATCTTGGTTTAGCTGCTTTCATTGTCAATGGGAGCAGGGAGAAGCACTTCAAATAAAAATGAAGCACAGTTGACCTTTGGGTAGTTTCCATGCAAAATAGAACTGGGTCTTTGAAATAAAGACACCTCAGAGAGACACAGAGATAAAAACCGCAACCTTAGTCTGCTGCCAGTTGTAATCACTCACCTGCAGGGGAATCCCAAGGAGGCAGTTCATGAGACTTATTGGAGCTCACACCTGTTTGGTAGTTCTAGAATTTTTTTTTAAGGTATATTTATTTGTGCATATAGAACTGGGTTACAGACCAGAGGTGCAGGGGCAGTGAGAGGATTCACCAGAGATAGAGGGGGGAGCAGAACAGGCAGCTCAATAAAGTACACTGCTGAGGGGAGCAGCGGGTGGGTCAGGAGAGGTCTGCCACGCCATGTGGATCACCTCTGGGGCAGGCGGGGATCAAACTCATGCTGAAGTGGCCCCAGTTTCTTAGTGCTGTGCTTTAACCTGCTGCGACACCAGGGAGGACCAGAAATTATTTTTAAAACAAAGCTTAGCAAATAATTTCTTGAAAAATGAACCTCAATGTTTAGGTCTGTTGTAAGTATACATTCTTTTTTCAGGCTCAGTGACCTGGTGTCCACAGCTCTTTTTGTGTTCTCTCTCAAACATTACAATTTGGTTTCATGCCTACCCCTAGACTGTGATGGAGACCAACCCACTACCATCAAACCAGAGCTCTTCTGCCTGCCATCAACCACAGGGCTCCACAAAAGACTCATCACAGCTGGTGGCCCAAGCAGCGGAAGTGGAGCAAGGCTTCCTTCCTCGAGGTTGGGAAGTCCGGCATGCTCCAAATGGGAGGCCTTTCTTTATTGACCACAATACCAAAACCACCACCTGGGTAATGTTAATACTCTCCCTTTTATGTTTATAGCAGCAACTTCAATAATCTCTTGTGTGGAGTTTTTTATAATCTTATAAAATGTAGATGTAATGGTATACATTAAGTGACTGTTTCCTAATACTCATTTAAAGAGATGTTGAATTCTTAATAGTATAATTTCTATTCAACATAGGAGTAGCCATTTTTTAATCTTTGGGTGATTGTCATAGACATATGTTGACTACTTATTCACTAATATAAATGCATCAGAAGACATTTAGTAATAATCCTTTGCATTTCCACAGGCTTTATAATTTCAAAATACATTTGGGTACATATCTCATTTAATCCCCCAAAAACCTTCTGAGACTAGGTAGAATAAGAATTCTATTTCAAGACAAGACTTAAATTACTTAATAGTTGGTTCATCATTAATGGAAAAATTACTGAAATCAGCAGCAGATGAATAGATTTTTAAAATTTTTTAATGACCTGCATATTTTATTTAATAAAATAAAATGTATTTAGGTTTGGAAATTAATCCAAATAAATTGAATTGTGTTCTCTTCTTCAATAATCTGAAAATAACTTCAGTTATCTTTTTCAGCTTCTCATTCTGTTACAGGGCAACCCCATGCGAAATGGGTTGCATAGACTGGGTCCTTACCCACTCACTTAACTTACAGTGAGACTCAGTTGCAGCACACAGGCTAATTAGCGGTTATTTACAAAAAGGGAAAATGAAGAAAGGATAACTCAGGGAGAAAGAGAGAAAGATAGACTGGTGAATGTACCTACCAGTTCCATGGAGTTGGAACCCAATAGCAGGCTGAAAGCCAGTGAAAAACTAAGGTCCCCTCAAGCCCATGTGTCTGGTTAGATACCAAGCCTGGCTTCTTAACTCCACTCTCAGTTCCCAGCATCCTCTCTTCAGTAGTGATGACATTATGAGATTTGTAGTCCTTAATGTCTAGGATCTCTTGTTCTGGGTTGGTGGTGGAGTCCATAAAACCTGTGCTTGCGGAGTTTGTTCAGGACATCCTTTCCCCCCCCAACAATTCTTTCAAATTATTAATACATCAGCATGTTCATGGGCTCAGAAATAATATTTGGTCCAATTAAATGACCCACTCTTTCACCAGTTTTTATTTAGAGCAGGAGAGCCTCATGTAGTAATATAATCCCTAGTGAGCGGAGCAAATACTCTGAATGGTTTCTGTGAAAGAGATTAAGTTAATATTAATCTGACTCTGAAAACTGAGAACTGAATTTCATAGCCTGAAAGTGATAGATTTCAGAAGGAGAAATTAGTGTTTCACAGATTAAGCAAATGGACTTTTGAAAGAAAACATTTTAAATACCTACATTAAAAAACATACTAACTTTCTGATAAAATGTTATTTTTCTTAACTTTTTTCTACCAAAAAAAGGAAGATCCAAGACTAAAAATTCCAGCTCACCTGAGAAGAAAGCCATCAGTTGATTCTTCCAATGATCTAGGGCCACTACCTGTAAGTTTATATAATGGATACTGATTTAATTTGACTCTCTCAATCATTTTGCATTTTGGAATAAAAAAACTTTTTTTTTTTGCTGATGTCCCATCATTTTACATCTTTGTTAGTATTTTAACAGTATAAGATCTCCCCCCTTTGGTGTTGTCACCATAGCACTCCTACCAAAGTACCCATAGTGATAGTCCACCACCATAGTCTATTGTGCTCCCCTCCCTCCCCTCCCCCACTTTCCCTCCATTCCCTCCATTCTTATCCCTCTGGATACCTGAGATCTGTGGTTATCTTTCAAGGGTTGGTTTTTAATGTTTGTCTTTGATCCTTTGATTTCTCTATGTTTCAAATATAAGTGGCCAGTGTAAATAAATACCACCAACATTTGTCTTTCTCCTGGCTTATTTTGCTTATGTAATCCCTCCAGCTCATTCCATGCTGCTGCAAATGGCATGAATTTGTCTTTTTTGATTGCTGTGTATTCTGTTAAGAACACTAGTTCTTTAAAGCTGTATTATTAAAATATTGAGCGTTTCTGTTAAAAATAGAATTTGCAAATTAAATTATGCAATTTTGCAAATTAAATATGGCATATAACCAATGCATTTTTTCTACCCATATTTCTAAAACTCTTTTCTAAAATAATTGAAATACTTTCTTCATTATAGCCAGGGTGGGAAGAGAGAACTCACACAGATGGAAGAATCTTCTACATAAACCACAGTATGTGCAATGTGAATTTTCATTACACTGTTTTTTTTTTTTTTCAATATTGACTATTGCACATGAGAATGGAGAATTGGTCTTTATCTCTTTCCAGATATAAAAAGAACACAATGGGAAGATCCTCGGTTGCAGAATGTTGCAATAACTGGACCAGTAAGTCTCTTAACATATTTGCTCTGATGGAATTGTCTTTCACTTCTCTCTTCAGGGGTGAATGATCAAGGACATAACTCTGCAGACATTGAGAGGAACACAAGTCTCTCCCCTCCCAGTAACTCCTTTCAAGCCCTAATAATATGAAAAAAGTGCATGAAGTTATCTTAACCTTATGTAGTAGTAGGCCAGTCAGTTCCCTCCCTCTTCCTCCTGGTACTTGCCACTGTTGGAAAAGCTCTTTGCAGTCCACAACAGATCAGAGTGGAGCTAATAATGTATCTGGTGAAGAAGTAGACAATGTCCTATCAAGCGTGAGGGTCGTATCTTGAACTTCTTAGGAGAAGTCAGTGTAAATGCGTGGCATTGAGTACAAATATTACTGTGTATGATGTTTTCTACTCTTGAGCAGGTTAGTGATAGGAAAAACATTCTCATTTGCATAGCTACTTTTTCCATTTTTAGCTTTTTAAATTTTAATTGTTATCTAATATACAAAATTAGGTAAAATTGAAGATATCATTTTTTTAAGATTTTCTTCAGTGTCAATGTTTAATTTTTTTAAGTAATGGATAAAAAAGGCTACTCCTTCAAGTTCATGGAAAAAGTACATTTTTCAAATTGTTCCCTTAATGGAGAAATCACTTTGAAAGTCCCTTAGAAATGGAAATTTTCATTTCTAATATTTCTCTACTTGGAAGAAATTTCCTGTTTCTGGCATGTTGCATTTCAAGAATATTGTATGATGAAAATTACAGCCATATAATGGCTGGATACAAATTTATCTTAAACCAAGAAATTAAAGTTTTACATTTGTTTTTCCCCAAATAGTTTCTCTTAATGCCTTTAACTTATGTTCATAAAATACCCAGATGGGAACTTTTTAAATTGTTTCAGAGTAAAAACAACCTAAATCTTATTTATTTTTCCAAAAACTTTATTCAAGGCAGTGCCCTACTCCAGGGATTACAAAAGAAAGTATGAGTTCTTCCGAAGAAAGTTGAAGAAACAGGTTAGTGATACCTACAATAAGTACTTTGAATGATTGTTACATAGACTAAAAGGAATAGAAAATGCCTTTTGAAAATAGAGATTTCTGTATTTGTGACAATATTGTATCATTTCTTATAGTAAAAGGATGCTTATCTTTTGAGTATATGTTATTAAAGACCACAATTAATCTATGTCTTTATTTTTTAAGATGTTTTGTGATATGTGTGTGTGTTGTGTGTATGTATATGTAGTATTGTTTACCTTTAAGAGTTTTTTTTTTTTTAAAGATTTATTTATTTGTGCATACAGAGCTGGGGTACTGGCCAGAGGTGCAGGGGTGGTGAGAGGATTCACCAGAGATAGACTGGGGAGCAGAACAGGTCGACTGACAAGTACAGTGCTGAGGGGAGCAGTGGGTGGGTCAGGAGAGGTCCCCCACGCCATGTGGGTCACCTCTTGGGTGGGGATCGAATTCTTGCAGAAGTAGATTTCGCTTCTTAGTGCTGTGCTTTAACCCACCGCACCACCAGGGAAGGCCAAGGGTTCTTTTTTTATGATTCACTTTTATTTATGCATACAAGAACTGGGATGTAGGCCAAAGGTGCCGGAGGTAAGAGGACTCAGCAGAGACAGAGTGGGGAGCAGAACAGGGGCATCTACTGAAAGACACTGCTTTGGGGAGCAGCAGGTGAGCTGGGAGCAGAGGGTCCTCTCCCTGGCTGCAGTGGCTGGCATAGTCTGATAGTGCTGAGACTTTAACCCCTGCACTGGCAGGGGGCTCACTCCCTTGAAGAATTCTGACCTAGTTTCCTAATGAGATCTGTGGGTGTGGGCTTTGTAGCCTAAGCAAGTAACTCAGGAGATTATCTTTTGTTTAGTCTTTGTGTAGGAGGGCTCTGTAGGTTTCTTTTCTATTTTAATTTTTGTTTTCCACCAAGTCATTCTTTCTCTATAGCTTCAAATATGACATATTTCCATAATTAAGAAGTAACAGTAATGATCAAGCAGTGCATTTTTTACTTGTTTTTCTTTTTAATCAGATTGTTCACTACAGATTATTCCAGCAACACAAATTCAGGGTTAGGAATGAAATTTACTTCTGCCCATACATTTCATTTCTGGTTTTGAAGGCCTGTTCTTAGTGCCTAATTTGCTCATCCTTTCCCCTTCCCCGTATAGTTTAGGAATATTACCACTAGGTGGCGGTATCGGGTTATACTTTCTTGCTTTCTAAACTGGAAGCCTGCTTTTCCAAAGATTCAAGATGGTCGGTTTACTGCATAGATGCTTCATACAAAATTAAACAAAATAAAAATAGTATAGATTTTTTTGTCACTTATTTTATACCTTAATAAAGTTCTAAAATATCAGCAACATCTTAAATAATAACTATGGCAAAATTGCTCTGGAGATTTGTTGATTTCCTTCCATGCTTTAGGGTTTTAGGTTCTTGTTGATTAATTTTTCTGGTAAACATTTTTATTCTTAATGAAAATGTGCTGGTGGAATAAACTCTAGTGTCTACACACTTGCCACTGTGGACACATGCATGCACTTTACAATGTCTAATTACTGGTGTCTTCAAATGGTGGGAGTTATAGAACAAGGCCTTTATAAAGGTTATAAAGGTTGCAGAACACAAAAAAACATAATTAAAGAAATAATGTTTAGGGCCCTCCCTGGTGGTGCAGTGGGTTAAGGACCAGCACTGCAAGCTAACCTCAACACTTCAGTGCGAGTTAGATCCCCACACCGGAGGTGATCCACATGGTGTGCCAGACCTCTCCTGACCAGCCCGCTGCTCCCCTCAGCAGTGTACTTCATGGATCTGCCTGTTCTGCTCCCACTCTGTCTCTGGTGAACCCTCTCATCGCCCCTGTGCCTATGGCCTGTACCCCAGTTCTTTATGAATAAATGAATAAATGTTAAAAAAAAAAAAAAGGAAGGAGAATGTTTATTTTAGCTTTTGGAATATACCACCATTCTTGGTAAATTGGACGTATTACTTGTGTAATCTCTACAGTCGCTAAAAGAAAGGGACTGTTATTCTGACACTTTACAGGTAAGGAAACCAAGGCACAGAGAAATTAGGTAATATGGTCAAGTCCCTTAGTTACTAACGGCAAGATCAGGTTCAAACCAAATGCTCTAGCGTCAGAGTCCATGCTCTTAACCAACATGACACATCATATTCATGATTAAGTAGGAAAATTTGTGTGGAAATAATCCAGAATGTAACAAAGACATATTTAGATAAAAAATAGTAAAGAAAGGTTAAGAAACAGGGGTTTCTTTCAGAGTCACAAATGCATGGCAAAGAGGCTGAAAATCTAAATCTTCAGTTAAAAAAAAACAAGTCCCGATCTTAAAAAATTAAATCCATTCCATATGTAGACATGTTACAACAAAAGAGTAGAGCACTAATACATAGATGAAAATTTAAAACCAGTGATATAAAAGAGAACTGCTTTTAACCTTTTCCTCTGCCTTATCCTCAACATCTCAGTAGTTAGGAATAATGATGGCTTAACCATGTAGCATGTAAAGCACGTAACACATTATCCTAGTAAGTCCTGAAATAGCTCCGTGAGGGTAGATACTATTGCCCTATAGTACTGATGAGAAAACTGAGCCTCAGAAAAGAGATAGAGCTGGAATTTGAGCACAAGGCCACGGGACTCCAAAATCCATGCCTTTCTTGCTTTGTTACTCAGTGCAAATGTGAAAGTTACTCCTCCATTGTTTTTCTCCTGTTGCTTTTGTTCATTTATAGGTCCATTCATCTACTCTTCATCATCTGTTTCATTGATCTTTAACTTACCTGCATGTCTGTTGTCTCTCCTGCTTAAAACCACCCCTATACTCATCCCCATCAATGTCTGAGGCCACACTAAGCAGATCCACTCAGCCACTCTTCCTAGCCAGCATTCACACTTTCTATACTGGCCCCAGAGTCTCTTTCTCCATCTTCTTCTCTCACTAAAGTCCCCCCTTTCCCTTTCTTTCATCCTTCTCTTTTCTCTAGCTATTGAATAGGTTAGACCTTCCTTGGGTGCTGGTTTTCTTAGCCTACCTTTTCCTAGGGCCTGTCTCCCTTCCGCTCCTATCAGGACTTACTTCTGCTGAAGCCTCTTGACTGCCTCCCTTGTACTAGTAGGTCAGTGCTTGTTCCCCACAAAGCATTGCTTACATCTCTGTTATGAGCAATTTCCCTGGACTTTGAAGTCTCTGAGTTAGTGATATTTATATTTGTTTCTCACCTCCACACCAGCTCCTGAGGACGTGACCACATCTTATGCCATGCTTTTATTCCCTTTTCCTCGTATCCCTAGCCTCACCATGGTGCCTAACTAGCATGGGCCTGCCTAGAGAGGCTTCAGGAATGCTTTGTAATTTACCTATGCTGATTGCCTCATGTCTAGTCTAAAATTGGTTTTCATTTATCTTGCCTCTTTTTAAAAAATTTGCATAAGCAGCAACAAAAACTGCTTATATAGCTCATGTAAACTCCCTATATCATGTTTCTCTAGGGCTTCCCATTTTTCTTTTACTATATTCAGAGTAAAATTGATAATTTTCTTTTCCTTAGAGCTAACCCTCTTTTCTTTTTCTTGAAGCAAAAAATTGTTGACAGGGTGGCTTCTCTTAACAGGTTCATTTGAATGTTAAAACTGGAAACATTCAAGAATAAAATTAATATATATGTTAATAAAATTTATAGTAACTTCTGTTTGTAAGCATAGTTATCTGTATTTGTTACATCAGCCAAGGACATATAGTCGATTAGTGAGACAATAAAACTCATAAGTTAAGAGCAAAGACTTTTTTTAGCTCCTATCTTCATTTTCATTACCCCATAAATTAAAGATGGTAAAAGAAGCTTCTTCATAGTGTTATTTGAAGGAGTATGGGTTTTAATGGGTTTGAGTTAACCCATTAAAATACTTGGAACCATATTTGGCACTGTCTGTGAATTTGTTAATGCATAGTAATGAATGAAGCAGGGTAAGTTCCCAGAAGGGAAGACCTCTCTTGGGTATTTGAAACTTGAAAAAAGTTTCAAGCTTTTTTCAAAGAAAAAAATTTGAGCCAACAGGCAGTAGTCAGTGGTCTTCACTGGCACTTACTATGGAAAGAACTGTTCATGAGCATTAGTATCACCATTAAAAGCTTCTTACTCAGATATGAAATAAATCATAAGCCTATATCACTAGGCTTATGCACAAATTATTTCATGTCATAGAAGAAATACAGACAGTATACCTAGGCATGTTTTCTTTAATAAAGGATTTTGGGCACAAAGTGAAGTACAATTAATTTTATAACTTTCATAAGAGATAAATTTGCCATCATGGTAAATTGATTTAAAACTTAAGTCCCTCTTCTGTGGATTTTCAGAATGACATTCCAAACAAATTTGAAATGAAACTTCGCCGTGCAACTGTCCTTGAGGATTCTTACAGGAGAATCATGGGGGTCAAGAGAGCAGACTTCCTTAAGGCTCGACTATGGATTGAGTTTGATGGTGAAAAAGGATTAGATTATGGAGGAGTCGCCAGAGAATGGTTCTTCCTCATCTCAAAGGAAATGTTTAACCCTTATTATGGGTTGTTTGAATATTCTGCCACGTAAGTACCTGTATAATGACTGTCTACAGAAAAAATAGTCACTGGCTTTGGAAATTAACAGAATTATATGATGCAAGGAAAATACATGTTACGTTCTACCAGAAAAGGAAGATTTTAGTTAATATTCTTCAGAAATAACAATTTTTTAAATGTGATTACATACCTAACAAAATTTACCACTGTAGGTGTACAGTTCAGTAACATTAAATACATTCACATTATCATGCACATTCAGTTTTACTACTATCATCACCCAGCTGCAGAATTTTCCATCATTCCCAGCCAAAGTCTGTACCCATTTAACACTGACTTCCCTGGCAAGGATCAATCCAGTTTCTGTCCTGTGAATTTGAGTACTATAGGTATACTTCCTACAAGTGGAATCATGTAATATTTGTCCTTTGTGACTGATTTGTTTCACTTAACATGGCATTCAAGTACAAACACGATGTATGTACTTGAATTTCCTTCCCCTTTTTAAGGCTGAATTATATTCTATTTTACCACATTGTGTTTATCCACTTTCCTGTCAGTAGACATGTTAGTTATTTCCGCCTTTTACAGAAATAAATATATTTAAAACCATTAAATCTAGCAGTCTAATTGGTTCTAATAAAAGTAAACAACTCAAAAAGAGTGATATAATCACACATCATATTGAAAATTTTATATGAAACATAGAGAGGAACATTTAAATGTGGTTGTCTTTTCAGGGATAATTATACTCTACAGATAAATCCAAACTCTGGATTATGTAATGAAGATCATCTCTCTTATTTCAAGTTTATTGGCCGGGTAGCTGGCATGGCAGTTTATCATGGCAAACTGTTGGATGGTTAGTATCAGCTTGAAGCAATTTTTTTTTCAGTGTAATTATATGATTTTTTTCACTTGGTATTCATTTTAAACATATTTTATTTTTTGCAAGGTTTTTTCATCCGCCCTTTTTACAAGATGATGCTGCACAAACCAATAACACTTCATGATATGGAATCAGTGGTATGCTGTTTTTAATTATAATATAAAGGAAGCATAATTTAACAGCAAACTGTATGTTTTGAAGGTTAACTTTGAATGATACAGAAATTAATAGATTTCAGTATTCCAAAATACAAATGAACATTTTCCTCAACATTTTATTAGAAAATATCCAACATATAATAATATTGAAAAAAATCTTACAGTGGATATATAAAGCAAATCTACCACACAGATTCCACAACTGACTTTTTTTTTTAAATAATTACCATATCACATATTTGTTGCCTGCTTATCTCTCTGCCCATCAGGCCATCTGATTTTTTGATGCATTTAAGCATAAGTTTCAGATACCTCTCCCTGAGTACTTCAATAAGCTGTGAGGCATTTCATTTCCTCTGTGTCTTGCATCAGTACTTGAATGGTAATCTTTTATCATAAATTATGTATGTTTTCCAAATGGCAGTCAGAAGGCAAGTTCTCAAAATTAGACATTACAAAGAAATAGAAACTAGAGGACTAAATCCCTGACTGTAACTTTGTGCTGCCTCTACTGAATAGTGTGTAAACACATGGATTTCAAGATCTCTTCTTTGGTACCAATTTGTTTTTGAATTCCTTTCTTATGACACATGATCAGTATGAACAGCATAATTTTTTTTTTATTATGTATCGTTTTCTTGTGCTAATATTGGTCTACAGCACTGTATATGACTTAGGGTTATAGATTCACATGTCTTCAAATATGTGTTACTATGCCACACCTACCACCAGAGCCCTAAAATCCTCTGCATATTCCAGTTCACTGTCTCCAACCCCCTTTGCTCCCCCACTCTGTACTTTCCCCCTCTGGTAGCTTCAGTTCCTAAGACTAGTTATTTGAGTTGGTTAATTGCCATTCTGCATTTGAGATATTTCTTTAAGTTGGACCAGATATAACTAACTTTCTCATAGCTACCCAAACATTTCTTAGACTACATGAGAATGGTACCTGGCCCTCCTGGGACCCATGGAAGTTAAGTCTATATGAAAACTGCTGCATTTAATCCTTTAATTAGGTAATAATATCTGTGTCTCCATTGCTCCCAAATAGAAAGATATTTCTACACTTCTAAGCAAATAGCCCTATTGCTTTATGTGTTTTTACTCACACATCATTGGCCATCCATCTCTTTTTATTCAAGTATGTGTGCACATGAAAAATATCCTACTGTCTTTTCATCTTTTGATCAGTTGATCAGAACTAAGTGTACTTTCTTTGCAGGTTCAGGTATTTTCTTTACAAATTTGCATTTTTAAAAATATGCTATTTTTCCTATCTAGGATAGTGAATATTATAATTCATTAAGATGGATTCTTGAAAATGATCCAACAGAATTGGACCTCAGGTTTGTCATAGATGAAGAGCTTTTTGGACAGGTTTGTTAACTTTCATTAATTAAAATGACATAAATTATGAAACATTATAACTTAAGTTTATATGTTAAATAATGCATATCTTCAACCCATTCCTGTTCTCTTTTTAAATTTTCCAGTAATGAAAGATGTCTCTCAGCACAGCTTTCTGCTTTCTTTGACATTCAGTTCCTTTCATGTTTATTTTAGTAAAACTAATATAAATTTTCATAGCTTTTGAATGGACTTAATCTAAAATATCAGATTCTGGTATAACTATTATATGTATGCTTTAATCACTAAAATAACATATCATGTTTTAGACACACCAACATGAGTTAAAAAACAGTGGATCAGAAATAGTTGTCACCAATAAGAACAAAAAGGAATATATTTAGTAAGTATTTTCTTAGTAAGTATTTTACTGTATTTAGCAAATACTTTATTGGAGGAATTTTGTTATTTCTTTTCAGGAAGACTCTCTACTCTCTCTTTCCTCATTGTTGGAGTCTCAATGTTCTTTTTTTTTTTTTTATAACAATGCTGTATTAACCATTCATACTCAGTTTTTGCATTGGGCTTAGGTAGTCTTATTTTTTCTAACTGGAATAAATGTGTCTTAATTTTTTTATTGGTTCATGTGAAAAAGATGAAATGTTTTGTTTCTTCTAGTCTTGTCATACAATGGCGATTTGTAAATCGAGTCCAGAAACAAATGGCTGCTTTTAAAGAGGTAATTACTTTCTTTCATTTGTTGTGCTATTTCAAATAATGTCAGAATATCATGTGTAAGTTTCCAACACTGGGTTCATCACATCTGAGAAAAATTAGCATATGGCTTGCTTTTTAAAATGTTTCATTCCATTTTTATAGTAACGAAACATTCAATGAGTAGAGATACACTTAAAATTCAGTCATTCAGTGAGCCCATAAGTAGGCATTGGTGGCTACTTCTCATTGTCACTGCCCCTCCCCTGCTCCCAGGCCCACTCCCTTCTCTTTATGTAACCTTGGTAATTAAAGGGCACAAAGTGCTAGAATGAATGTGAAATTCTCCGTGTTTCTTATCCTGAATGGAAATCACGCTATATATGTTGCTCTGTGACTTGTTTTCTCCTTTAATCTATAATTATTGGTGATCTTCACATGTCAGGAGATAACAGCTACCTTTCTTTATTGTTTCACCTTACTCATTATATAAATTCATAAGTTATTTAAACTTCTCAGTTTGTAGACACATAGGTTCTTATTGGGGCACTCATTTCCTAAGCTAACTTAAAGTCTCTTCAATATTTATCACATACTTTTTCATTATTTCAATATGGAGTACCATGTGTCTGGCATGGTATGAAGCCAAAAGATATTTGACACTGTCAAGGAGCAGAGACTACAAAGAGTGCAGTGGTCAGAGGCAGGCCTGAAGTGTTAGGTAAGCACACAAGAGGTGTAAGCCAGAGCAGAGGAAAGTGGAGGAAGGGACCAGAGAAGGGACAGGAGGAATTGAGCAGCAACAGAGAAGGAAATGCAGTTCTAAGCAGACAGAGCAGCATGAGTGATGTCTGGGGGTAAAACAGAATGTGCACGTTAGAGAAAATACCAGTTATTCCAATACTGGATAAAAGGAGGCAAGTGGAAAAGTAGCCTGGAGAGCCACACAGAACCAAATTCTGAAGGGCCTGATTGGAGTTTCCTTTGACGTTCAATGAAGGGAGGAAAAGTGGTATTCAAGGCTATTAAGCAATAAAAAAACTAGGATTCAATCTGTATTTTAGTCAGATCATTCTAGAAGTCATATGTAATGAATTAGAGTTGGGCAAGACTAACTGTAGAGGCTAGTTGAAATGTACTGAGCAATGCAGACAGACTTAACTAAGATGGTGATTGTGGAGAGCTGTGCATGTATGTTTGAACGGTATTCAGGGAAGAAGGTCTGGAGCACAGGATGATTTTAGCAATAGAGGCCTGGATTGGCAGTATGGATTTGAGGGCTCTCTGCAGGTGGAGAGGGGAGCTGGGACTAGATAAGATAGAAAATTCAAAGAATGATAAGATAGTGAAAGTGGAAGACACATGTGGAGATACAGGAACACCAACAATGGATGGCGCAAAAGGAACTTCAAAGGATAGTAGCAAAGGCGACCAGATATCAGGAAAACTATCAACAACAGACAAAATTTTGAGAACAGAGATGTTGTCAGCATTATCATACTGCAGAGAAGTCAAATAAGATACAGAAATAGAAAGCAGTTTTCAGATTTAGCTGCAAAGCTGTCTTCAACTTTTCCAGCACAGATTCTGAGAAGCAGCAGCATAGGGGACCGATTATAATCATTTGAGGGATAGATAGGAGCTGAACAAGTGAATTCGGTGATGTACAACACTGTCAAGAACTTGACCATGAAGAGAAGGAAAAAGAGGGGTTTACTTTTGTTTGTGGGGTCGATAAGACTTTAACAAGTTTAAATACATTATGAGTGAGCTGATAAAGAGAATGAGGTTCAGTGGAGGAGAGGCTGGGATACCTCTCTTTCAAGGCCATGGGAAGGCCTGGATGGATATTGGGGAATTCAGAAGATTGAGTGAATCCAGTGCTGAACAAGTACCTCTGTTCTGCCTCTGAAATAGAAATTACCTGCTGTTAGGTGCAACGGGTTGGGACGCAGCACTGCAAGCTAGCTGCAGCCACTTTAGTGCAAATTGGATCCCTGTCCCTGAGGTGACCCACATGGCCTGGCAGACCTCTCCTGGCCTTCCTGCTGCTCCCCTCAGCAGTGTACTTCGTCGAGCTTCCTGTTCTGCCCCCCACTCTATCTCTGGTGAATTCCTAGGTTTTAAAATATGTTCTTTCTACTAGGGATTTTTTGAACTAATACCACAAGATCTCATCAAAATTTTTGATGAAAATGAACTGGAGGTAAGAAATACCACTTGTATTTCAAGACAGCATTTTTGTACCCATCATTTTTCTTATTTACAGTTTAACATTTCTTGTTATGTAGCTTCTCATGTGTGGATTGGGAGATGTTGATGTGAATGACTGGCGTGAACACACAAAGTATAAAAATGGCTACAGTGTAAATCATCAAGTCATACAGTGGTTTTGGAAGGTAATTGGAAACTTCTATTTTCATAAATTCATTTTGGATGGATATTGTATTAAACAAAGATAACAAAAATATATGTCAGCAAAAATTCTTTGGTTTTACATTGTATATGTCTACATTCTGGGTATGGTCCCACCTCCATGTGTATTTACAGATGTTTAGAATGTAGTAAACAGCAGTGACAGCTGAGATCGGCACTTAGTTCCTGACCACAGTAGGGACACTTCAAGAGAACTCATAATAACCTGCTGTGCATTTTCTGAGGCTCCTGTGTGGCTCCTTTGGATGTGAGTTTCCATGCTATAGAGAAATGTGTGTGCTATTCAGTACTATCAAATATAATTTTTAAATAATATGAAATAAATTAATAAATATAATTTTATACTTTTTAAAGAAATTTTAATTTGTCACAGCTGAGAAGAAATTTCTGTCACTTCATTAAGTTGTTGTAAAGCGCAACCATGTAGCTTGGAAGTTAGGTTTTCAAGAAGTTTGTAAACCACTATGAACATAAATTTCTTTAAAAGAAACATGCACATTTAATAAGTGATCATTAATGCACTAACAAAATTCTGATAGTTTATTCTTCATAGCACATTTTTTTCCAGAAATATTCTTAAATATTTGTTTTTTACCTATTCAGGCTGTTTTAATGATGGATTCAGAGAAAAGAATAAGATTACTTCAGTTTGTCACTGGCACATCCCGGGTGCCTATGAATGGTTTTGCTGAATTGTATGGTAAGGGTTTTCCATAGATCCTTTAAAATCAAGTGTGCCAATTGTCTTATTCATGTCTAATTATTCTTCAAGCTTCTAATATTTATATGAACATGTAGCATAATAAAAAATAAGGCTTAAATGATAAAATTAGATACACTAAGGCATATATATATATGTGTGTGTGTGTGTGTACACACACACACACACACACACACTTTAGTGTATCTAATATATATACTATATATATATATATATATATATATCTGATCAGATAGCCAGAGAGAAAACTAGAAACATGAAATGACTTGAGTTACTTTCCAATTTTAGATTTCGAATATGATTTCCTCAATGCATTCTAGTGCAGAAAAAGCATTGCCTGCAACATGATAACAGGATATAAAGTTTAGCATGTGAAGTTCCACAGGCTGTTAATATGCATAAAACAGAAAACAAATATCATAATAGAATACATTTGACAAAATAGTAGACTAAAGTTAGGACTTGCTATGGAAAAAAAGTAAGTCTTCAAAACTTATTTGCTCATGGAAACTGTGGGAGGGAAGGAGTGGGATAGTAGTTGGAGGGTGGAGAAACTTACTGGACTACTCTTTTCTCAACATGATGGGAACCAATAGGAGTAGGAATCAAACTGTAAATGCCTCTTATGTATAGTTACTATTAATGTAATTTCTCTACAGTAAAATTCTATAGTCCTAGCTATATTATAGTTTATTTACCTAATAACGCTAGAGAGGTATTTGATTTAAAGTACTGCTTCTGATGTAGAGCAAAACTACTTTCTCCAGTCAGTTAATATTCTGTTTATTGGAATGACTTTACTTGCTTTTAAAGATACCAAGAAGAACAGAGTGTCCAAATCAGAGTAACAAAGGTTAAATTGTTGCAGAAACTAGAAGTCAGGGACTGCTGCCTAACTCATTGCGAAACTGAATTTTCATACCAGTAAAAATGGCTATCTGATGGATTATCTGGATTATCTGATGGATTATCTCCTAATTGTAAGGAGTGATGTGTGAAAACGACCCCTTTTATGAGAAAACTTTATGAATGCAAATTTTTTGGTGTTGCTCATACACATATTTGAATATGTTTCTAAGACATTTCATTTAGCATAGTCCTCTCCCTCTGTCCATGTTATCACAAAAGACAAGAATTTATCTTTTTTAGTGGCTGAGTAGTATTCCGTTCTGTTTATGTATCACATTTTCCTATTCCAATCATCTGTCCTTGGGCACTAAGTTTATTTCTTTAGCTTATCTATTATAAATAATGCAGCTGTAAATGCATATTTCAATTCAAATATGCAATTTTAATTCAAATTTTTTGTATATTTTGGGTAGGTACCTACAATATAATTGCTGAGATATATGGTAGATCCATTTTTAGTATTTTGAGACACTGGAATTTAAGGTGATTTAACATCATATATTTTTTAGATGTTCTTATTTTTTGTAGTGAGGTTATACAATCAGAAAATAAAGCTATTTTTTAAGTGGGACTTAAAAAATGCTTATTTTTCTGTGTACCTGTGTACCTTCTGTGTACCATAATAGCTATGGAAATGTAACTGTTTCTAGGAGTAGGAAACAGCAAAGTACATCAGATGTGCCATCCCAGGGGCAGATAATGTGATCACAAATGAACTGATGGAAGAGGACTCCTCATTTTGTGGCAGGTCAATGAAGCCACCAAGCTTTCAAAGAAACTAGATTGGTTTCCTGTGTGTTTAACTTCAGGAAAAGTGACTTTTGAAAGGCTAGGGACTCCTGTAAAGAGTAGATGAAACCAAAACAATTCTTATTTTTTGCAGGTTCAAATGGACCCCAGTCATTTACAGTTGAACAGTGGGGTACCCCTGAAAAGCTGCCAAGAGCTCATACATGGTAAGTGAGGTCTTAGGACCGAGAAGAGAGGTCTCTGAGAGTGCCATTCTCTTAAGACTAGGGACAGAAGCTCTAGCACCCTTGGTGGATGAGGAGGAGTTAGCAACACCAACCCAGGTGTTTCTTTGTCAGGCAGGCCATGACTTGAAGACTAGGTAGCTAAACATTGAAAACAATCCATCTAAATTGCTTGACCATATGTTGCCTCCAGCTCATGAATGAAGGGCCAACCCAAGAAGGTCTAGAACATTCCCTGGTGGGGTTAGAATGACAAAAGAACTCAGACATTTGGAGGTCAAGATAGGGTTAAAAGGGTTCCACTGAGAAGTCATGGGAATAGTTCATGCCAGTCCTTTCTCAGCCTTATATCCCACTAGAAAACAAACCGTCTTCAAATGTTGTTGGAACATACTCATGAATAGCAAGCAGGTTACTGTGTCTGCTGTTGTGACGCTTGTTTTGTCTGTGTCTTTTATAATGAGTTCTTCTCTGCTCTTTCAGCTTTAATCGCTTGGACTTGCCACCCTATGAATCATTTGAAGAATTATGGGATAAACTTCAGATAGCAATTGAGAACACTCAGGGTTTTGATGGGGTTGATTAGATTAAAATATTGATCCATTTGTTTTACTGCCACTTTTTATAAGCAAAATACTTAAAACTTTCCAAGGAACTACTAAACTTGGCCATTGCTTCTTCCCAGAAGATCATATAAAGGCATTGGAAGAAACAGCATGACAATTTCACCATTACGTCATCCACTTTTAAATAATGTGTTGCATTGCATTTACACAGTTGATTAATTCTGTCTTTAGAGTTCATACTACAGGATTTAAGTCCTGTGTGCTTGAAATAGTAGGTTATGTCCTTAACAATTACCTCTTTTTACAGTACTTGCCAGGCAGTTTTTTCTTAAACTACTGAAATTATAACTGTGAAATATTTGTCACAAGTGTCATGTGTGAAAAGTGTGATGCTTTTTGAAAAAGAAAACTAAAATTTGGAAGAGAAACCTTTAATGTTGAGCAATTTACACTATTTTTAGTGCTGCCTGCAGCTATTTACTTTCTAGACCTGCCTTATGCACCTTACACCCAGATTTTTTGGAAGAACCTTGGAAAGTGTTTTACCTATATTTTAAGTTAACTAGCTCACTTGCAAACACTTGTTTACGTCATTTTAAAAGTATTGGACTTTTCTTACTATGTAGTTTTGCTAAACAAGGTGGTTTATAGATATGCGAAGCAAATTCAGATTTGCAAAAGTGAGAAGAATTAACGACTTCCTCTTGCCAGTGGATCCTTATGGTTCATTGGTATTGCCATCATTCATGATTAGTTTAGTTAAAAAATTTTTCCTTCAAATATTAAACTAAATCTCCACAAAGCAGTGTTTCTAAATATGCCTTGAAGGACTAAGTTAAATGTACAGTACATGCCTTTATAGTCATTCTTTACACTCGCACAAATTAGTAGTAAGTATATGTTTACGGGACTTACTATGTTTACAGATCAAGTTAATTTCTGTAGTTGCATTTTTATATTTTTAGTATTTCACTTTAGTCAGAAAACCAAATAATTTGTTAAAAACAACCAAAGAATAATTATAATGCATAATTTGTATTAAATTTACTACCATGTTTCTTATGCTTTTTGAAAATGCTGTTTACTATGAAAAACATGTTTTACTATAAATCCAAATCTCTTTAGGTAAAATGCTGCGGGTAGAATCCTACTTTAACCAAGTGGAAATACAGGAAAACTATGTGCATGCATTTAACAGATGTTTGCTGAATGCCTGTTGTGTGCACAGCACAAACTGTGCTAAGTCTGAGACTTGTCAGCTTCAAAGAAATATAGCTTGGTTCTCATCCTCAAAGAACTTACATGTGTAAACAATCAGAAGTAGAGGTGAGCAGAATAAAGCAAAATGAAAAATGTTCCATTACACCTGTACAGGTAATGTGTGCCAAGACTGCATTTCCATGTTTCATAACTATATTGGGATGGTTATATAGAAAATGCTCTTGCAAAACATCAAACCTGTTACTCAATATGGTATCTTGGCAATTGAGGAATGATTGTAAATTCATGTCACAAATCTTCTTGAATGCATATTTATGTATGTATATATGTGTGTATATACTTAAGGGTTGTAAAAAGTGCTTCTGACAGTTGGCTTAAGTTGGTTAGGACAAAACCTCAATGAATATCTATCAGTACCTGGTAGAGGTCTCAAGTTTGACAGTAACAAAATCATTTTCCAAGCACCACATCAGCTTAAGGAAAATAGTTCACAGATCAATACATTATGTTTTATCTTCACCTTTGTTAACTTGCATTCAGGCAAGACCACCAGGTGTAGTCCTAATTTTGTCACTTACCAGCTGTTTAAACTGAAGCGACTTAATTAACCTCTTTGGGCTCTGGTCTCTTCATCTGTCAGGTGAGATTATTTGCTCCCACTCTTGTCATGTAAGATTGTTGTAAGTTCCAGAGATCCTTTGCGAAGTATGAAACATTCAGAAGATGGATTGTACCAAACACCAGGTTTCATTAAATGAAGTGTGCACTCTAACTACACTCCCAAAGAAGAATATCTTCCTCTAAAAATAAAATGACTGCTACTAGGCCAGGAAATATGAAGATCACTGCTGTTGAATACAGTTAAAGACACATGGACACATGTTCGTGGATCTTACCCTCAGAATTTATTTTCTCCCCATCAACAAAGTAATATGAATATGAGCCAATGCATTTTGGAATGTCCTCATTATGTAGAATTGAAAATGAAAACTATTTTTGTTAAAACATGATTTTTACCACATAATTGTTTAAATATCACTTATGTGAAATAGCAGAGCTTGAGGAAATAGAAAGCGTGCCTTTCAGCTGGATGATATTTGGATGGTCCCATGACTCAGAAAAAAACAGGGCTTTACTGAGACCAGACTCACTCCTCTAGCTCTCAGGACAGACCATCACCCCCTCATTGCCCAAGTGTGGGCTGACTGGCCAGAAGGAACCTCTGTCAAGCAACATTACCTCTTACCCCAGACAGAACAGTATATCAAATGCATTCTACTGCTGGGGAGTAAGTAGGGTAAAAGACATAATATTTTTCTAGAAAATGTAAGCATATAATTTTATATATTTAATCAAATTTTAACATAACATCAAATTGTATTACAAAGACATTTCATCCTATCTCAAATTTAAATATTTGTTTGCGTTTTTTATTTATAAGGCTGAAATTACTCCATATCATTATCAAGTTAAATGCAATTTGTTTTCTTTTATTAAAGTATTTTACATTGTTTTTAATATCTTATGATATGGTGAATATATATATATATCAAGATTAATGTATCAAAATCTGTCATATACTTTAAAATATAAAATCATTGTTTAAAAATCTGGATGCCACAAATAAAGTTCTATTCTAATTTAAAAAATAAAACCGGATTCATTTTAAATAGAAAAGTTTCCAAGCCAGTATTCTGGGTGATATTTGCTAGTTGGTCATCTGTAGTAACATATAGAATTCTCAAGACAACCTTAATGTGTATATGATGAACTAGCCATTAGCTATTAACCACAGTTTATGAACCATTAACCGCAGATAAGCTCCATTTTACAAAAAGGTCATGTTCCAAAAGTCTGGCTGTTGGTGAAATATCCAGATAACAAAATATTCATAAAGTAACAAGTGAACTGGATTACAAGCACATTATTGCTTATTGAAGAAGCCAGCCTTAAAATAGCCATTGTGTATAACATTGTTTTCATGAGAAAATGCATTCCAAGTGTTAACTCAGAAGTAAATATTTTTTCCTCCTTCTTACGCATCTGGAAGTTTCCCAGTTAGAAAGGAACCTACCCAAATCTCCCAAGCCAACTCTGAGGGGATATGTGCTAGCCTATTTCTGCTAAAATCCAGAAGGTAGCTTTTAACCCTGGGATCCAAGCCACTGTCCTCTGCTTCCACCCTCCAGTTTTTCTTGAAAGTTAATAATTTCTATTAAGCCTATTTGAGATTTCCCAGTCTCACGAGTCCTCACATCCCCTTGGGAAGTCATTCCCTTTTAGCCCATTGGAAAAGGCTATATGGCCTCAGCCTTGGAAGACATTAGAATGAATGGCATTGTATTGCAATTCTTTGTTTAAAAGTTTCTCTCTACAGATTTTGGGGGCAATTTGAAGACAGAGACTACTTTGTATACATGTTTTTAATACATTCATTTTCCCAGTACATACATATCTGATGAGTGTGAAAATTTAATTGATACTGCATATACAATTCACTTAGTACCTACAACATCCCTGGAACTGAACAGTAATCTGCAGGAAGTTCCGTATTTAGGGGAATATTGGGGCCTGTATAAATACACATGCAGAGGGGTGACATGATTGAGATCCTACTGAGCACCAGGATCTGCAGTAAACACTATATGTACATCCCATTTAATCTTCATAAAAACTCAGCGAGGCAGGCTTTACAGGCTCAAAAAGGGCTAGTAATTCATCAGAGCTCACACAACTAGTAAATTCAGTGGATTATAAACCACAACAAAAAGGAAAATCTGTGGAATCCAGCAAACAAATTACTAAAGTGTATAGATTTTCAACTGCACATAACAAATTACCACAAATTTAGGAATTAAAGTCAACACCCATTTAGTATCTCACAGTTCAGAAGATCAGAAGTCTATAAGGGCTGAAGTGGATCCTCTGCCTATGGTCTTACAAGGCCAAAATCAAGGTGTCAGACAGCTGGGCTCTCTTTCCACTTCTGTGATCCTTCAAGTTGTGACTGTTGGTCAGAGGTACAAGTTCTTGCTGGCTGGAAGCTGGAACTACTCAATCTCTAAATAGTACCTTCATCTTTAAGCTGCAAGCTGACACTAGGTAGAGAAGTTCTCTACTTTTAGAACTCACAATCATAGATATAACAGTCACAGAAGTGAGCTCTTATATCCAGAGTTAGTTGTGTGTTAAGGGGTTGCACTCAAGGGCAATTCCTAAAAATTCTGTTCCCATTCTGTGTGAAGATAAAGGATAGCAAAGGATTATAGATATCCCACCTGGAAAACATTTGTAAGAATCTAATTTTATAGCTTTTATTCAAATCTTTCATCCATTTTGAATTGATTTTGGTATTTGTTATAAGACGGAAATGCATAGAAGAAAACAGGTGATAGCTCTTTGACCTAGGCCTTAGTGGTATCTTTATGAACATATCTCCAACAGCAAGAAAGACAAAAGAGAATATAAGCATGTGGCACTTACACAGCAAAGTGGACTAAAAGCATCTGCACAGTAAAAGAAACCACTGTTAAAATGAAAAGGTAGCTTACTGAATGGAAGATGAAATTTTCAAACCATATATCAGTCACGGGCTAATATCCAAAATATATGAATAATTCATATAATTCAATTACAGAAAAACATACAACCTGATTAAAAATTGGGGCAGAGGAGTAGGCATTTCACTAAAGAAGACATACAGATGGCAACAGACACACAAAAAGATGTTCTATATCACTTATTAGAGAAATACAAATTAAAACCACAATGAGATTTCACCCCAGCAGTGAATGGCTATTATCAACAAGTAAAGAAACAATAAGAATTCTTGGCAAGAAGTAGAGAAAAAGGGGCCCTTCCTGGTGGCGAAATGGGCCAAAGTGCAGCACTGAAGCGAGTCACAGTCACTTCAGTTCGAGTTTGATCCCCACCTGGGAGGTGACCCACATGGCACGGAAGACCTCTCTTGACCTGCCTACTACTCCCCTAGGCAGTATACTCTGTCAAGCTGCCTGTTCTTCTCCCCACTCTGGCTCTGGTGAGTCCTCTGGCACCTCTGGCCTGTACCCTAGTCCTATATGCATAAATAAATTAAAAAAAAAAAAGAATTAGAGAAAAAGGAACACTTGTGCTATGTAGGATCCTGTGCTTTGTTGGTGTAGCTGCTATGGAATGATACAGAATTTTCTCAAGACAATAAAAATAGAATTGCCATATGATCAAGTAATGAAATGTATGGATATTACCAAAATAATAAGAAAAAACCTCATTCAAAAAGATCTATGCCTCCCTTTGGTCTTTGCAGCACTAGTCACAATAACCAAGATATGGAAACAACCCAAGTGCACATAACTAGATGATCAATGAAGATATATTCCATTGAAAGGATAAGTTTGATGGGACTACATCAAGTTAAAGAGCTTCTGTACAGGAAGAGACAATTACAAAAAACAGATATCCCACTGATTGAAAAAAAATTTTCTCACACAAAAGTAGCAATGAAGGATTGATCACAAAGATTTACAAAGAACTGATGAAACTCGACAAAAATAAACAACCCCATCAAAAAATGGGCAGAAGAGCTACAAAGACACTGCTCCAAAGAGGAAATGCAGATGGCCAACAAGCATATGAAAAAATGTTCAACATCACTCATAATAAGGGAGATGCAAATTAAAACCACAATGAGATACCACCTCACCCCAGCGAGAATGGCACATCTTCAAACAACTAGCAACAATAAATGCTGGTGAGGATGTGGAGAAAAAGCAACTCTCCTGC